GCTGGGGTCTCCGCTGGCGAACCCCCTATAGTGCCACAGCCCCGTTTCCGTCCTGCTGTGTCCGGTCTCCTCCCGCCAGCACATGGGCAGGGACTTCTGGAGTGCCAAGGCCGGCCGCTGGTGAGCCGAGGAGATCCCCGGTAGAACCTGAACTCTGGGTTCTGGGGATGGAGCCCAAGCCTGGGGGGTCTCCAGCCCTTCTCCGCAGCTGAGGCGACATGCCCCCACCCACAGCCCCGAGGACTCCTTTTGGCCGCGGGGCAGGGGCTCGGGTGGGCAGTCTGCAGCCAGCGCACGCCCCTTCCCCTCGCCCCAGCCGCCTGCCGGCGGGGACTCCCGGAGCGGGGGCGGGGCTCGCGCGGCGGGCGTCGGGGCGGGGGGCGTCGGGGCGGGGCGGGGCCGCGCTCTCCGCGGCGCCGGGCTGTAATTTGTCGTTATATTTAGCGGGCGGCGCCGGGCCGGGCTGCGGGAGGGCGGCGGCGGGGCTATAAGCGGCCCCGGGCGCCCACCCTCGAAGCGGGAGCCCGAGCGAGGAGGAGACGGCGCTGGAACCCATGGACACGTCGTACCCCCGCGAGGACCCCCGGGCCCCGACGCCCCGCAAGGCAGACGGCGCCGCCCACACGGCCCTCACTCTGGGGGCGCCGAGACCCCCACCTCGAGACCACTTGATCTGGTCGGTGTTCAGCACCCTCTACCTGAACCTGTGTTGCCTCGGCTTCCTGGCGCTGGCCTACTCCATCAAGGTGGGCGGGCGGGGGTCTCTCCGGACGGGGGTGGGGGGGGTTGCTTGTCCAGAGGGCCTGAGAGGCTTGTGGCGGGAGGGCCTCTCCAAGGGGCGATGCCTGTGAGAAGGCCACTCCGTTAGCCAGGCGGTGGACAAGCTCTTCACCTCATGAGGGCTTCTCCATTGAGGCAGGGGTACTGTCCTTAGGGGGGGGTCTAGTCCCTTCAGAAGGGCACAGAGTTGTTGGGGGGTTACCCAAGGGGGTCTTTTTCATCAAATGGCTTTTCACATGCTGGGGGCTCCTATGACCAAAGCCCCTCTGACTTCAGCTCCTTGGGGTCCTCAGCACTCCAGGACTCTCCACCCATGGAGGGTCCTTGGAGGCTGATGCTGGCCCAGGTTGGTCTCTGAGTCCACAGCTGGGGTGGGAGGAGGTAGGGCCCCCAGTGTATGAAGAGACCTGGCCCCACCACTGGTCCACAGGCCCGAGACCAGAAGGTGGCTGGAGACCTGGAGGCAGCCCGGCGTTTGGGCTCCAAAGCCAAGTGCTACAACATCCTGGCCACGATGTGGGCGTTGGTGCCGCCTCTGCTTCTCCTGGCGCTGGTGGTGACCGGCGCTCTGCACCTTTCCCGGCTGGCCAAGGACTCTGCCGCCTTCTTTAGCACCAAGTTCGACGACTCGGACTATGACTGATAGGCTGCGCCTTTTCTGCATCCTGACCCACGGACCCTGACCCCAGTACTAACCCCCAGGGCACTGCTCCAGGGACTCCACCCTGACCCCCTGGAACCCCAACTCCACCACAGGACCTGATGCCCACCCCTCCCACCCCAGCCTGGGCACTTAATGCTGACCCTGAAGATCCCTTGTTTGGACCCCAGTGGCCTCAACTCCAACCTTGATGGTCCCCACTCCCCTAACTCCTTGTACCCAGGCTGGACCCTCCCTCCTCACTCACCAGACTCACTCAGCCTTAGTTTCACAATTAAAAGCACCTGGTTCCAGAAAGTGCCTCCTGGGCTTTTTGCTGGGGTGGGAGAGGGTTTCTTCCTGAGAGGAACCACCCACCCTAGGGGCTCCCCTGGACTGACCCCAGCATGATGGTAGGATGACCCATCTGTCTGCTGGGCTGTGCTCCGACTGTCGCCTTCACTCAGGCACTGGGTGGCTTGTGGCTTCTGGGGTGGAGGCGCCTGAGTATTTTAGAATGAAGTCTGGGAACTCAGACTTTTGATCTCTGCTGCCCTGCTGGGCACTGTGGTTTAGTGGCCTCTCTTCCAGAACATGTGTGCCCTTCCCCATCTGTGTGTGCACTTGTGTTAAGTGGGAGCCCCTAGGAGGACATCGCTTGTCCTCACCCTGCATGTTTCTGTCAGCGGGTCAGGCAAGTGCCAGCCTCCTTCTTTGGGTCATTCTGTCTGTCCCTATGACTCCTGCATTCCTTTAGTTTTGAGAAATTTCAGTCCCCACAGTGCGTTTCCTCTCTCCTGGGTCAGTGAGGCTGGACACAAGACACATGAGCACACAGGTGTGACCCTTCTATCAACCATGCACACAAACCTCACACACATATGTGCAGTAGGGCAGAGGGTGAACACTGGGAGGTGAGGACACTTTCTGAGCATCCTTGGTGCTAGGTACACGTCCTTGTATCATTCCACCTCCCTTGTGCACCACTCTCCCCCTTCCCGGAAACCAGCAGAGCCTGGCAAAGAGGGGGGTTGCTAAACCCATGCACACACCCTGTGTGGTTGGGGATGAGGTCCCTTAGGCCTCCCTGTGGCTGATCCAATGACAGGGCAGGCTAATTGCAGGGGCCTTAACTGCAGGGCGGTTCGGGGTTTTGAGCGCCCCACCCAGAGAGCACCCCTTGCCTACCCATCTGCCTGGGCTGGGTGTGGGGGCCTGTCTAGCTGCTGTACTTGGAGTCTCAGAGTACCCCCCTCTTCTGTGACAGCCAACGGCTGGCCTAGCTGTCTCCCCAGTGTGCTAGTAGAGATGGTATCCTGGCCACATATCAACAGCATCCCAGCCCTATGGTGGAGTGTGTGCTGCCCCAAGCCAGCCGCTGCAGATAGGGGTGTGTGCTGCCTGGGGCCTGGGGATGGATATGGTGCACTGGCCCATGCCGGGTGCTGGTCCCACGTTGGACCAAGGATAAGTATGCCAGTGCTTGGACCAGGATGGACACAGCATGCCAATCCTGAGCTCCAGGTTTGGCCCAAGAAGGGAACCACCTGTGCTGGATGCACAGGTCAGAAGTGGGGATCAGCTTGTGTGCGACCAGGTACATGTCCCCAAGCATGGGATGGTCTGCTAGTCCCCACATTTGGTGAGGGGAACAGAGATTGTCTGGCCTGTGCCCAGGTGCTGAGGACACAGAGTGTGTGGTCAAGACGGGCATGGGGGAAGGTTACCAGCAGCCCTCCTTATCCCAGGCTGTCTCCCGGGCAGGCTGAGGGACCCTGATCAAGTTTATGGACCCCTGACCAGCCATGCCAGCACACGTGCAGTGCCACCCTGCCACAGCCCCCTTGGAGGGTCACCTCACTACGTGTACAGACGGAGGCACACATACATGGCGTGTATATGCAGGAAGCGTCAGGCTGTATCAGTCCTGTGAGTACAGGGCCACCTACCACCCCACCTGATGTCTGTGCCCACATCTGGCTCCAGGGCTGCGAAAATAAGCATCTGCTCTACTGGAATAGTCCCAGCCACCATGCCCTGCTTTAGAGATCTGCCTCAGCCTTTGCCACATGTCCAGCAGTTGAGGGAGAGCCTGTGGGCCCCTGGGCAAGCCCTACCAAGGTGCTGGCTCCAGTCTCTGGGGTCACATGCTCTTGGGGACCAGCACTGATATCCATGCTGATCTGCAACTTGGCTGGTTGTGCTCCCTTGGAGGCCATCCGTCTTCCCACGTGCTGCTCCCCACAGTAACCCAGAGACAAGCCTTAGGATCCCTGACACCTCCACCCACCCTCCTTCCCCACTCCCTCACATGGCTTTGTCCATCACAGCTTGTATGCCTGGTGTCTGCTTCCTGGAGAACTTGGGACTACCTCTCCACCAAGAATAGAGAGAGAAGAGGGGGTTGCCAGTGCGAAGGAGGGTGGCAGGCCCACCTGCTTGCTCTATATGGGTGCTTTACTGCACTTCCTGACCTGACCCCATCCATTAGGCAGCCCTCACTTTCAGAAGGAAGGAGAGCACCAGCTCCTTATGGCAGACGGACTTTTTCAGCATGGAATTTTAATTTCTCAGGCAGACCTCAGGCCATGTAGGTGGCACGGTTCTCACCAAAATTTTGGCAGCAGGTACCATCTCACCTCATTCTTGAGAAACCCCCAAGGACCCAAGTTGGATGTGCCAGCTGAGGGGCTGAGGCCCCAGGAGGAGAGGCAGCCTGTTAGGACAGATGGGCCCAGGCCGGTGGCCTTGAACCCATGCATCCTTGGCCCCAGTCCTTCTGGCAGGTTAGAGGGAAGGTGCAGGGTCTTGTTCTGCACCCACCTCCCTCTCTTCTTGGCTGAGGAAAAGCCTGTGACGGGGACTGTCCGACCTCACTGAACTGGCCCAGAGGCTGGAGGAGCCACAGACTGAGGATGCTGAGCGCACCTGGATTCAGCCATGCCTGACCTCATCCGTGTGACACACAAAGTTCCATTTTGGTCTGTAACTGAGAGAGTCCCAAGGAATTCCACAGGGGACCAATGTCCTGCCTCATGCCCCTCACCCCTGCCATCCTCCACATGGAGGCTTGCACCTGTGTCTGCCTTCTCAGCAGAGCTGTCGGCCACACCCCAACCCCACGTTGTGCTGTCCTGGGGAAGGGTACAGGTGCAGGTGTCAGCCCAGAAAGGCAGGCACAGATGTGGCTGAGTGTGAGGCCATGGGGAAGCTGCAGTCCATGGAGGTTTAGGCTGGGGAGGGGTTCAGGCTAGAGGCAGACCACCTTGAACTTTGGGCCAACAAATTCAGACTTTCCCTGGAGCCTGTGAGCCTGGCTGCTAGTTGGAGAGTGGGCAGGAGGGAGGGGATCAGCAGGCTGGGAGTGTGTTGAGGAGGGGTGGATGCAGCCAGCTGGGGGTAACCACAGAGGAAGGCCAGATGGGAGGACCCAGAGACATCCCTGAAGCCCTGGATGTTCAGGTGCAGTGCCCAGGACAACCCCAGGGTGAGGACACTGGTGGGGCTGGAGGACCCAACGGTGTCCCACAAGGGGTCTGTGGGTTCTGGGGCAGGTGTTTAATGTCCTCAAAAAATTCTCCTAGGAAACTCTTGGAGCAGAACTTGCTGCCTCTGGGAGTGACCTTTGTATCCGTCCAGCTGACGAGGGAAAGGAGACTTTGTGCCCTGCAGGGAGAGGGGGGCATCTGGAGTGGGGACACATACCTAGGGGGCTACCCTGGGGGGTTCACCTGCCCTGGACCCCTGGGTGAGTCTGGGGGTGGTTGCCTACCTGGGAACAGGGGGAGTCGAGTGTGTGTCGGCCACAGCTCAGCCTCCAGCAGGGGGGCCCAGGGTCCTGCCTGGGCTTTGACCTCAATTGTCACAGACCCCTTGGAGAAGGAGAAGTCAAGCTTGCTCCCCTGGTAGCAGATGCCATAGATGCACACTCCAGAGACCCCTGCCAGACACATGGGGTCGAAGGTCACGCCAGCCCTGGTGATCCTGGGAGGAGGGGAGACGTTCATGAGAGCAGGAAGTGGGGGGGGAACGTGACTGCTCTCTGCCGGGCCTATACTCACCTGAACCCTGTGAACCCAAAGAGTGCCGCTTGCAGGAAGCCCCCCATGCCTGTCAGGAAGTTCACAGCGCCCGATCCATCTGCATTCTCTGTCCACACCTGCACGTGGCCAGGCAGTTAGTGCCCGGACTCCCAGGATACGGGCCCCCATGAGGCTGCTGCCCCTGCTCCCAAGGGCAGGGCCCAAGGTCAGGCAGGAGTCACCAGGGACCTGACCCTGCTATGCCTCCCCCTGAGACTGGGCTCCCACTCCTACCAACCAGGGGCCAGAGCGGGAGGCAGGTGTGGTCAGTATGAGAGCTGATACCGAGACCAGGCTACCTTGAATGGCTCAGCTATGTTGGCAAAGCTCCTCTCCAGGAGGTCCCGTGCCCGCTGGGGGTCCTTCAGCTCCATCCAGCCCACAGCAAACATGCTCTGGGGTCAGAGGTCAGAGGACATGCTGGGGCATAGCCCACTGCATGGGGAGGGGAGACTGAGACTAGTGGGGCAGGGCTGCGGCTGCTGTGAGGACCGCCACCCCACACCCCTGCAGTTTCCTTACCCAGGTCATGGCAGGACCCTTAGGCGACGTCACAGCCTCATAAATCTCCAGGTTTTTCCTGCGAATGTGAGGACTCAGGTGGAAAGGGATGGGGTATCCCAGGAGCACAACGTCTGCCTGCTTCACCTCCTCTCCTGGGGAGGGACAGGTGCTGCCAGCGGGGGAGGGAGCAGGAAGGGGGAGCTGCTCTATCAGGTAGGGGACATCCAGGGTGGACATAGGTCCTGTCGGAGGGGTGAAGGGGCCCTGAAGCAGCTCCGAGTACACTCACCAGGCTGGTACCCATCAAACTCAGGGTGAAAGTTCCGCCTTGGGTCAAAGGGCACCTTGATCTTATCAGCCACTGCTAGCCATTCGCTGGGAACAGGCTGACCCAGGTCCTGGGCCAGAGCAGCAGCAAAGCGCAGGCTAGGGGCGGAGGCAGGGAGAGGGGGGCTATAGCCCCAGCCCTCCCAGCTGGCCCTTTGCATGGTGGCAGTATGGGCAGGGGTCTTGGGTCTGACCTGTTCTGGACCAGGACGTTGGTGTACACGGAGTTGTTGACCCCTGAATGGTATTCGTCGGGAGGCATGACTCCTGGGCAGACAAGTGCAAGATGGTGCTTAGTGCAGGGTCCTAGGGACCTGCCCCTGATGCCAGTAGCCAGTGGGGGGCTGGCAACATCAGGTGCCAGAGATCACATGCTGAACTGAGGAGCATCCACCTGCCCCACCAACTTGTGGCCACCTACTGTCCCGGCCACAGGTGTCCATGCCTCTCCCTTCTACCACTGGCCCTCCCCTATGACCAGCCCCCCTCCCCATGACTATCCCGCTCTCCTCGTGCCCTCACCCTTTAGGTGGTACTTTTCCTCCTCAGGGCTCCACTCCACACGGCTGCACCAAAACTCAGCCACATCCCTGACCACATCCCAGCCACCAGCTTCTTGGAAGAGCTGCAGGTCCTGGGGGACCAGGAGAGGATGGGACAGGGACCATGCCACCATGACTGTAGTTCTCATTGGTTACTACATTTCATGTCAGTGCCCACCCATCTGAGTGCCCAGAAGTGAAGGTCTGACCCCAGACAGGAAGTCATGGTGGGGGTAGGGGAGCATGGCCACGTTAGGTGGGTGGTCATACCTGGTGGGCATGGTGACACCTCACCTGGGTGGTGTGGTAGTAGAGCTGGAAGGCCAACACCACAGCTCCATTTATATGAATTTCCTGGGTCCCATAAATGTCCTCAGGGCAGACCTCCAGACCAGAACCTGCACTCTCCCAGGCGAACTTGGCTCCCTGACGGATTGGGGGGCATGGAGCAGACCTGACTATTCTGGGGGTTGTGGCACAGGGATAGCCCACCCTTTTCCGAATGCTCTCAGCCTTCAGCCATGGAGGACAGAGGTGGGGGCACTGAGTGTCTGGGTGCCCTCATGGGGACCTGCAGGCTCAGAGTGCCCACCGTGTGTCCCCATCATAGCCCAGGTGGCTTCTGCCCAGCTTCTACTGTGTGTTGACCCTGGGCCAAGGTAGCGAGGGGACTCCAGCTGGGCCCCAGCGAGGCTGTTGTTCCCACCTGTACGGTGCAGGCTGGGGACTGCTGCTGAGCCCCTAACAGAATCCAGGAATCCCAGCCCCACCCAGAGAGGAAACTGAGGTGATGGGTGCAGGCCTAGGAGGGATGTGGGGACATCAGGCCCTTCAGGGGGCTCTGTAGGGTGGGTGCCCGGGTCCCCCTCACCTGGTAACCCAGCTTCCGGGCATTGTCTTTGGCCCCACCCAGCGTCCGGATGCGGTACTCCAGGAGGGCCCTGGCGGCCTCTGGGTGGAACATCAGGATATTTGGGAACATCCAGAGATCCTGAGAGCAAGGAAGGGCCCCTTGCTCAGGAGCTCTCACACCCTTCTCTCTCTCCTGCCTGCCCACAATTCTGCCTTGGCCAGAGCCAGTGCTGCTCATGCTGCCTCCCTGAGCACCCTTCTGTCTCCTTCCAGCTTCTTCCTCTGCTGCCCACCCTGCGTCCATCCTGGGCCCTCCACACCTGCCCATCCCACGTCCCAGTCTCCAGACTAGATGCTCCTCGGGTCTGGTGCCCAGCCCAGTGCTTCACCTCCCCAGCAGGCATCTGGGTCCCCCCAGGAGCTCAGGCTGGAAGCTGCGCATGGAGCACCATTGCTCACTAGCTGCCTGAACTAGAGTGAATGACTCCACCTCACCAGAGTGGGCCACAGAACTGGCTTCTTGAGGCATCTGATGAAGAGGGCGTAGCATCCCGGACCTCTCCCATGCTCAGTGGACACCAAGTCCGTCTCTCCTGGCTCCCACTCCTGTCTGAGGCCTCACCCTCTTCCACCCATGCTCCCCTCAGCAGCTGAGAGGGTCCTCCCAGAGTATACCTTTGTTAGTGTCATTCCCCAGTTCAAATCTCCATGGCTCTTACAGCCCCCCTACAGCTGCTCTTCTTCCTTGGTGAGGTACCATTTTGCCCCTGCAGATGCCACACACCCTCTCAGCTCTGCTGTTTGTACCCCCCGGTCCGTTTGCCTGAATCACTCTTCCACCAAACTCCTATACATTCTTTGGCTGAGATCTCACCTCCTCCAGGAAGCCTTCCCTTCCGCCATGGCCTCTGTGCTTCCCCAATCACAGCCCCCATCCCTGGTAGGGCAGAGAGAGCAGCCGTGCCCATGCCCTTAGCCACAGCATCCTCCATGCCCGTGTGCTGCCCCATCTGTGGCTGCTGTGTGCTGGGGGGTGGAATGGTGCATACCTGGTCCCAGAAGACATGGCCCCAGTAGCATTCCTCTCGGCTCCCATTGGACAGGCCCCCAGGGCTGAGGCCATGGCAGGTATATCCTGGGACCCCGGGCTGGGGCAGGGCACTGAGCAGGTAGTAGAGGGCGCCATGCAAGGCCTGGCGCAGGGGTAGGGGCCCCACCACATCCAGGCCACAGCCAGCCCAGAGCTGGGCCCAGGCCTGGGCATGGGCAGTGTACAGAGTGCCCTCTGCCTGCAGCTGCAGGGCCTCGGTGAGGCAGGCTCGGGCCTCAGCCTGGCTGCCACCCACCACGGTCAGGAACTCCCAGGTTTGGTCTTCCTCACTTTCCCCAAGGGTCAGGGCTGGGGGCACTGGTGTCCACAGCATGTGTACTTCCTGCTGGGACCCCTCAGGTTGCTCCGGGGTTAGTGTGTGGCCATAAAGGTACCTGCAAGAGTGTGGGCATGTCTAAGGGACCAGCTCCCTCCTTGGTCTACCTGGCCAGCCCTGACCCCCTCCTCACCGGGCTCCTTGGAAGTCAGGACCCAGATGTAGGTCAAGGTCTGGGCTTTCTGGGGAGAAGGCTGACCGCAGCAGCACCGTGATGGGCCAGTTCCCCACGGTCACACGGGTGATGGACACACTGAAAGCCATGACGTGAGGCAGCGTGCGGTGGGCATAGATGCGCTGGGAGGCCTGGAAGCTGGGGCCCTCTAGGGTGTGCAGAAAGGAGCCTGGGAATGGGCAGAGGGGGTCAGCGCAACTCGCATGCCCCACTTAGGGCCACTGAGGACAGTTACAAAGCTACCAGCCCCTCAGGGAGGTGGATCCACCCTCTGAGCCCCAACTGCCCTGTCTGGAGAGCTACAGTTGCACAGAGGACCCCAAGCTTGTAGCAGTTCAGGAGGCCCGCAGGGCTGAAACCCTCCTTTTCTTTGTGAGTCAGGCATCCTGAGTTAGAAGGTGTCAGGATGGGACTGCTGTTGGTTCCCCCACTCACCTAGAACAATGGCTCAGCTTGGGGGAGCAGGACAGTGGTGGTTACCTGTGTTAGTGTCCAGGACAAAGGTCTTGGTCAGCTGATCTCCTGTCTCTGCAGGGACCTCCAGTTGGACATTGAGGGGACTCGGCAGAATGGCCCGGTGTGTGTCCCTGCAGGCCCCGTTGTACACGCCGCTCACATGCAGTGTGTCATGATACACACGTGTGCCCAAGTATGTGTTGGTCATGGTGGCCAAGAGCCGGGGGTCAGTGGGCAGAGAATGGGCAGTGAATACGGTGGGGTCCTCAGTGGCATCCTCCATGGAGAGGCTTGCTCAGCAGAGTGGCCTGGAAAAGGCGGAGTCAGTGGCCCCCACAATTGGCTGGGCCTCCCTCTTTTGACTGTCTTTTAAAGCCCTAAGCCTCCCACCCCACGAACTTGGCTGATGCCTCTGACAGCTGGTGGGGAGGGTGTGGGCCACCTGGGCAGCCCCAATTTTTCACAGACCCCACTTTTGAGCCACCCCAGGAAACACTTTCAATCCTAAGAGATGCTCAAACTCCTAATACTGATCTCCAGAGACCCAGCTGGGTCCCCAAACTCCCACCTTGGGACCTCAATTCGAGTCCTTCCAGCTCTTTCCAAGCCGCACCCCCACGGGCCCCGACCTGTTAGTGGGCAGTGAGGAGGCCTCAGTCTTCCGGACAGTAGTCCTCAAGAAGACTGGCTTGGGGGAAGGCTGGGGTGTGTGCCGGAGCGCGGTCCCGGGGCGGTGGGGGCGGTGGGGGCGGGGGGTTGCGGAGGCCAGCGACCCTGGGCCGGGGCAGGGAAGGAGCCGGAGCTCCGGGAGGCAGGCCGGGGAGGGTCTCTGGGGCTCACCGCAGCCCTGCGTGTCCCCAGGCTCCAGCCCGTTCGGCGCTGCCCCTCGTTGGCCAAAGGGAGAAGTAGCAGGCGGCCGCCCCGTCCCCGGAAGGCCTTGCAGTCCCCGCCCCCAGTGCCGCGCAGGGCGGGGCAGCTGGGCCACCACCCCCGGGGCGGAGCAGCCGGGCAGGCCAGCCGGCCGCGTGGGTCCGCGTGCACACCGGGTGCTGCTGGTGCGCGGGTGGTGCTCGCAGCCAACTGCGTGAGGAGCACAGTTTGAACGCTGACCTCAAGGGTGTGTCCAGGGATGGATACAAGGGGGGCGGGGGCCTTTGGTTTGCGGTTGCCCCTGTCCGGTCTGGGCTTCCTCTGTCTCTGCGTGAGCTTCCCTGTCCCCCCTTCAAAGAGGCGGCGCTGCCGGCCCCCCTCCAGGAGAAGTCCTTCCCTTTGCTCTGGCCCCACCTTCTGGCTCTCCCCAGCCGCTGCTCTCAGACTCCTTTTCCCCACCTGCCCACCTGGACGCTCCAGGGCTGGGCCCGGGGCCTGCCTCCTTGCCTCTCTGGCCCTGGCCTGACCCTCGCGTCTGTGCTCTGACCACTGGGCCCAGCCAGAGACACTCGGATTCCACGTGTCCCTCAAAACCAGCTCTTTTTGCAACCTCCCCCAGGAGACTCCTCCTGTCCAGCTGCTCAGGCCCCCTCTGTCCCCACACCCACTTCCAATGCACAAGTCCTGTTGTTCTGCACTTGCCAGATCTCACCGTCCCCACTGCAACCTCCGAGGTCAAGCCGTCCTCTTGGATAGACACAGTCCACGCTCTGTGCTTCTGCTCTGCCCTCTGCGGTCCTTGTTAACACAGCCACAGCCACCCTTCTGCTCCGAAGCCTGCGGTGGTGCCCACCTCACAGGAGGACCGGCCAGCCAGCATCCCTGGCCCCACCCTGACCCCTCCCCTAGTGCACTGCTGCCGCTCTAGCTTCCTTGCGGCTTCTACAACAGTCCAGGCATGCTCCCTGTTACGGACTGGGTGTGTGCCCCCAAATCCATCAGTTGAAATCTAATCCCCAGTGTGACCGTATTTGCAAGTGGGGCCTTTGGGAGGTAATTAGGTCAAGAGCTGTCAAGAGTGGGATTAGAGACCTTACAAGAAAAGGCCCGAGAGCTAGCCTGCTCTCCTTCCACCATGTGAAGAGACGGCAAGAGGACAGCCCTCTGCAACCAGGACGAGGGTCCTCACCAGACGCCACATTGACTGGCACCTTGACCTTGGACGTCCCAGCCTCCAGCACTGTGAGAAACACATTTCTGTGTTTGATAAGCGCCCCAGTTTATGGGATTTTGTCATGGCAGACGAGCTGGTGAGACATTCCACAGTCTTTGTCCTTGGCTATTGCTTTGCCTGGAACACTTTCCATCAAGATATTCTCAGGGCTCGATGCCTCACATCCTTCTGTTTTCAAATGCCCTGTCCTCAGGTAGACTTCCCCAGACCCAGGACTTGTCACCAGAGAGCCTTGGCTCCATTGTCTCCCTGCATTTTGCTGTACTTTATGTTCCCCCAAAGCACTGGTTGGCCCCTGTCTATACATGTTTATTGTCTGTCTTCCTGCCAGGTTAAGGCGGGGGGGATTTTGTCTGTTTTGTGGAATGAATGCCCGGATTTGAAAGGTGAGTATGGAAGGGAATTTTCCCCGAGAAGTGAAGGCACTGACTCCCATGGTTTTCATCTACCTGGACTGAGGTCTCGGGACCTGGTCAAGCCCTGAAGTGTTGAGCAGAGACCTGAGGATTCGGCGGCTGTCCACCGCTGGCCCTGTTCGTCAAACCCAGGCCTCACCTCAGAGCTTCCTGCAGTCAGGCGGTAACTCTGAGCCTCAGTTCCCTCATCTGGGAAATGGGGAATACAACCCCACCCCATACAGGGGGATTGGGGACCAAAGGAAAGATTGTGAGCACTTGCTAGGATGCTTGGCCACGTGCAACAGAAATCAGCAGAAGTGAATCCAAAGGAGAATGTATTATCAGTGCATGGGGTGGGGGGCAGCCAGCCGTGCCATCACAGCTCCCACCCAGAGTCCCAGCTGCTGCTCCACCTCCCCTCTCCCCTGGTCTCCGTCCCTGAAGACCTAGATAGTGAGTGGACCCCTCTGGACGGGGCCCACAGAGCCTCAGGGATGGCTTTGCTCCCAACGCCAAGACCCAAATTCCTAGGGTGGAATGGTGACCTGCCCACCTTTGGTCAGGGGTCAGCCCCTGCTCGATCCCCTGTGACCAGGGGCAGAGTTGTTGGGGCTGTGGGGCCCATAGTGCAGATGGGGATGGGATCAGTGAAGGGGTTGCTCTGCACTGAACACAACCACGTAAAGGCCAACACATGGTAGGTGCTTGATGCCTGGGAGCTCTCAGCGTCATTATTGTTGCTGGAGGCATCTGCAGGGGGAAGGCTAGAGGGCCTCAGGAGAGGAAGGTGGGTGGAGGAGAGGTCCCTGGGTGTGGAAGACAGAGATGTAACCTGTGCCCAGGGTGTGAGGGGAGGGGCATGTCCTGGGACCTGTCCCTGGCCAGGTAAGGGACCCTGTGTGTCCTTGCCTCCCATCTGCCTGCCCCCAGCTCCTCAGGCTCAAAAGAACTGACCAGAGCTGAGAGCAACATCCTCCTGCCCTTGGGATGAGGAAGTCTACTCCGTAGGGCTGACTAGAGTCCTCCCCCTGGCCTTCGGGGCCTCAGAGGGCACTGCTGAATCCGGTGGGAGGCTCGGGGGGACTGTCCAGTGCCGGGTGGGTGATGACCAGACCTGGCTTTGCCGTCTTCACTGTCTGCAGCTCCTTCAGTGACTGTTCGCTCAGCTCCACGGAGGTCAGACTGTAGCCGTGCACACAGAACACAAGTGGGAGTAGGTTGGGGAAACTGAGGCCAGGGCAGGGGGGAGAGTAACAGGGCAGCAGTGTGGGGGCTGTTGGCCTGGGCTGTGCTAAAGGCACACAGTGACAGAAGGTGTTAGTCAGGGGCATCAGAGGCTGGGAAGAGGGGAGTAAAAGGGTATTGGGATCACTGGCCCAGACTTGTCATGGGCACCAGATGACAGATGGACATTTGGTCTGGTAGAGTGGCTGAATTCAAGAGTTGGGGCCACGGGTCTCCAGGGGCTGGGTTTGAGTGTGGTCACTCGGGGGGCCCTGGGAGGGGCTCCACTTCAGGGTCCAGGGGAAGTCCCCAGGCACCCAGCCCAACTCACGGTTGAGGGGCTGAGTCCCCAGCACCTTTCCCGCCCCTGCCTCTACCTGAGGCTCTGTAGGCGGCATCCTGGGTGCTGTAGGGCCGCACATAGGTAGGTTACCATGGGTCCCGACAGTTGGCAGTCACTGAGATCCAGGGTAGTCAATGCTGGGCTCTGCCTGAGCATGCTGATGAGGTACTGAAGCGCTTCCTGGAGGCAGGGCTGCTGCACCCTGGGGGCAGGCTGAACCTCAGGACTGCTGTGGACAAACTACCCCTCCACCCCCACCCCTGGCCCGCGGCCCCGCCCTTGTCCCTCCCTTGGTGTCTCACAGGCCAGGTCTTACCGGAGCTTCTGCACCCGGCACTGGGGCCAGGCCAGGCCCTCACTCAGCACACGCAGGCCTGCCTCGCTGAGCCAGTTGTGGAGGAGGCCCAGCTCTCTCAGGGCGGGGGCCTCCCTCAGGGCCTCAGAGAGGTCTTGGCAGACCGAGTCAGGCAGTTTGCAGCGGCACAGCCTGTGGTCAAGAGGCACATGGGTCTGTCTTCAGGCCCCTTGGCTGCTTTGCTATACCCCGGCTCTGCAAACTGCCCGCTCCTCGGGTGGCTGAGGTTCAGTCTGGCGATATGCTGGCTCCACAGGAACAGAGTTTTCTCCGTCCTTTGTCACTACATGTGTTCCTGAGGCGCCTTGGCCATATATGCAAGTGCTGGACTACACTCCGCTTTTCCCTTAGGACACAATTCTCTACCCGCTTTTTGATGAGCCAATTTAGATCTTACTGTCCACATGTTTAATTGCATATCGTTGTCCATTGAGTTAAGGTAGGCCATAGTTTAGGCCATAGTTTATTCAAGTAGCCAGTCCCTAACAATTGGGCAGTTGTGTTGTTACTACTTTTTTGCTATTATAAATAATGCTGTGATGAACATCTTCATGCATTCAGTTTAGGGGCAGAACTGATGGGCCAAATGTGCCGATCACCTTCTTGGCCCCCTATGTTTATTTCCAGGTTGCTGGAATACCCTCCTACCAAGCTAAGTGACCATGTCACTATGCCCCACCAGTACTAGTTCCTACAGTTTCTCTTACTTTCTGCTTACTTGGTGATAGGTCATAGACTCAGTGTTGCCACATTAATTCGCATACCAACCCTCTGAGGCAGAATCTACTGGCTTCATTTCATAGGGAAAGAAACAAGCTCAGATAGACTGACTTGCCCAAGGTCTCAGAGGCAGGCAACCTGGACTCAAAGCCTGTGCCCTGAATACTCCCTTCCATTGCTTGGAAGAGTTCAGAGGGGCTGCTCAGCACTTTCCAATAGCACCTAGCAGCCTTCCTTCCTTCCTTCCTTTGTTTGTTTGTTTCCTTTCTTTGGAAGGAAAATATGTTCTGGTCTTCTTTATCCCTCCCCCAGAATGCTTAGCCACACCATCTTTCCACTCAAACTGGGGCCAAATGCTCCTTCCTAACTAACATCGAAGCTGGTGATGGAGCCCCTGCCCCCATCCCCTCCTCCCTCCTCCGTCCTGTGTGGGCACAGCCTGTTGACCCCAGCCCAGGACACCAGAAGCCACAGGCTCTGTCTGTCCCCTCAGCCATTTCCAGACAGGGCTGTACCTCTGTCCCTGCCCAGAGTATCCTGCTTTGCATCCTTTCCAAGGGAGGGGTGGGGGCATGGTCACTCACGTCAGGCTGTTCAGACCACAATGTTGGTCAGTCATGGCCTCGAAGAGTGAACGTAGTGGAGAGGGCTGGGGTTTTCTCATGGTGGCTTGTGAACTGCTAGGAGAGAGAGCAAGGTGAAGCCCACCTGTCCCCTTCCAGTCCCTACCTCTTGCCTGTGGTCCTGAGGTGTCGGAGCTGCCTCTGCCATCAACCCCAAACTGAGCCAGGACCCCTCCACCCTCTTCACTCTAAACCCAGTGTGAAACCACTCATCTGGGGCCCCATGCACCTCCCCGCTGAAGCAGTCTATGTGAGTCCAGCCAGTGGGGGAGGATGTCACCCGCATTCTGAGGTGGGTCTACCCGTGCACGTGCAGTGGGCGTCCCCAGCCCCAGCTCCTGCCAACATCCTGACATTCATTATCTCAACAGATGCTGAGCTCTGGGTCAAGCGCTGGGTTGGAGCTAAGACAACTTGCCCTGAAGGAGCTGAGGGTGTGGTAAAGGGGATAGACATGGGTAGATGTCATGGCATACAGTGGTCTATGGGGCACTTCTGGGGCCAAAGGGGTCTCAGGCCAGCTCGGGGAGCCTGGCAAAGCACTGACAATAGGCAGCAAACAGAGTGTTCTGGGTGGAGGGAGCCGCAGGTACAAAGCTCAGGGCACAGTAGGCATAGTGTATTCCAGAACTTATTAGAAAGCTGGGCCTGAGCCACACAGCCATACTTGGAGGTTTGCCTCGCATGTGGACGGCTGGGAATTGGCATGGCAAGGGCATCCTGGGGAAGGAGATGGACAGATGGACATTGGGAAGCTGTCTTGCAAGGGGGTGGGCTCCTCCTCCAGGGGGGCAGGCGTCTGCTGTGGACGTGCTCCCCCTGCCCAGATGGATGCACGGGCACACATGCCCCCACCGAGGGCCTGTGAACCTGGGGGCCATCTTGCCCTGCTGACTCACGAGCTGCCGCCCAGGCTGCCATGCAGTCGCTTTATCAGGCTCTTCTTCTTTTTCTTCTCCTGTGCGGGGACCAGTCCACAGCTAACCAGCCGCAGTGCCTGCCCGGCGGGGCAGCACCGTATGCAGTAGCTCAGGACGACCAGGTCCATGCGGCTGAAGCGCACCCGCTCCAGCTCCAGCTCAGGCAAGCCACGCAGGGCCTGGTGCACAAAGGCGCCCTCCTGCGTCTCGTACAGGCAGTACAATAGCTCCAGCGGGTAGTTGAGCTCGCCCTCCTCCTCTTCTGGCTCCTCGGTGCCTTCCGGAGCTTGGGTCTCTTCGGTCCCCTCAGGTGCCGCCCTAGGGCGGCCCTGGCCCTGTTCCTGCACCCACCGCAGGACATCCTGCTTCACGCGCTCTGAAACCACGCCGCCGAAGTGGCGCTCGATGTCGCGCATCCGCTCTGTGTTCAGCAGCCCGAAGAGGAAGCGCGTGGTGAGCGTGAGGTGGCAGCGCAGCTCGGTGTCCCCCCGCAGAAGCGCCCCTACGCTGTCAGCCGGTGCCCTGAGATCCCTCTCATCCTCCAGCAGGTAGGACAGCGCAGCGAAGAACTCCTGGAAGCTCTGGTCCATGAACTGGTAGGTGACCTCTGTCTCCAGCACGCCTGGCAGCTCTTTCTTGCTGAGAAACAGCGTCTGGACTTTAGAGCCCCGAAGTTCCAGTCGTTCCAGATCCTTCTCCGCGAACTGCACCCTGTGCCGGAGGATGCCTTCACGGGCCAGGCGGCACAGCTTGCGCAGCTCGCCCTGCATCTGGGGACCATCTGCCGCAGGCGCCGAGCTGAGGACGCTGGCGATGAAAAGCAGGTACACGGACGTGGTCGTCTTGGAGGTGCGCGACAGGTCCTGGCCGAGCTCGATCTGCTGGCGCAGAACAGTGCACACGATCCAGCACACGAAGGGCACGAAGCACAGTGCAAACAACGTCTCATTCTCCTTTACGAAACGGTAGGCACGCTCCGCCATCCCTTCGTCTCGAAAAAACTTGTGGAAGTACTTCTTCTTGTCCTTGTCGGAGAAGCCACGCACCTCAGCGCACTGCGGTGAGCACAGGAGGCCCTGCAGTCTCCCCGGGGCGGTGGCGCGCGCGGTCACCAGCAGGCGGGCGTTGGGCAGCAGCGTCTTGCTCATCAGGCCGCCCAGCACCCGCGCGCCATCTGCCGCCTCGAAGGGGTCTGTGCAGGGCGCGGCCTCGGAGGGTCCCGGCGGCGGCAGCAGCTCGTCCGCGCCGTCCAGGATGAAGAGCAGCCGCTCGGACCGAGCGAGCATCTGCCGCACGGGCGCACTGCGGTGGGGGCACTGGTCTAGGATCAGGCCGGCCAGGCTGCACGTGCCGGGTCGCTCCAGCAGCTCGCGGCAGGGCAAGAAGAAGGCGAAGTCCACCTGGTCGTGGTACAGCTTGCCTGCCGCCCAGTCGTACAGGATTTTCTTAGCCGCCATGGTTTTGCCGATGCCCGCCGGGCCCTGCAGCACGACAGTGAGAGGCCGCTGACCTTCTCCGTCGCGGCCGAAGAGGCGGTTGAAGGTGTGGGTGTCCGAGCGCCTAGCGCGCTCTGGCCCCTCCTCCTCCGCGAGCCCCGGAGCCTCGTCCACCAGCGTGGCGCTCTCGCGCGCGATAAGCAATTTGGTGAAGCGTTTATTGATCTTCACCGAGCGGGCGTTCCTCTCCTTCACCTTGGCATGCTGCCGCAGGACATGCTCTCTGTACTTCTTCTTGTACTCTGGTGGGGGCCGGGAGAGGGGACCGGAGGGAGTAAAGGGAACGGGGTGTGTGTGGGGGGGAGGGCAAGGATGGGACGGGCTTCGTCACTTGACCCTCTCGGGCGGTTCCCCAACCCACTAGGTTCAGGTCTGTTTCCCCAGCTACACCCTAGCCCCTCTCCCCATCGGCCTTCCCACACATTCTCCTCCCTGGGACCAGCTTTCGGGAACCTCCAAGCAGTGTAGAGGACACTCGTGCTGCAAACCTGAGGGTCACCGTCGTCACCCCCCCTCCGTCCCCAACTTGCGGCCTGTGCTTCGCACCGAGAGAGACCTACCGGACACGGAGAGCAGAGCGGAGGAGCTGGGGCCGAGCCCTGGAAGGGAGACCTGTGTTGAGGCCCTGCTGAATGTGCAGGGGCGGGGCGGGGGCCGCAATAGGGAGTTGGGGCCACCTTCAAGAGCGCCCGGGATCCGAGCCCTGGGGCTGGTGAATTTGCGGATGGGGAAGCGGGAAGGATGGCGGCTGGAGGCCCAGACTCTGCCCAGGCGGAAGCGAACGGAGCGTCAGGGACCCTGGCAACCCCCGACCCCGCGCTCACGCTGCAGCCGCTGCTCCTTGAGTCGCGCCGCCACGTCGCGCACGTCTGCCCTCTTCAGGGTCTTTCGGGTCACGTCCAGCGCAGGCTCTGGCCCGTAGAATTGGGTCAGCTGCATCGCGAGGTCCACGGGGTCCGCGCGCTCCAGCCGCCCCCACGGGATGCTGCGGCCGTCCAGCGGCGCATCCCGCAGCTTGAGGCGGAAGCGCTTCAGCTGCTCCTGGCTCAGGTCCTCGAGCGCGGCCTGGAGAAGATCTCGCGCGGCAGCCGCGCGGGACTCCGTGCTGGGGGCGGTAGGAGTCAACACGTGTGTGGCGACGGTGACCCCAGCCCTGCCGCGCCTCCCACCCTACCCGACCCCGGCGTCGGGGCGCCCACGACAGTCAGCGAGTCAGAGGCGGCCCCATTTCTCCAGGGGACTCCTGGCCAATGCTTGGTAGCACTCAGCGGGGAGGGGAGTCATGGAGGAGGTAGGTGGGCTTTGCTCCAAGGCTTTGCTGCCTGGTGGTGAGTGGGGTCACTCCGCGGCAGGCACTGGCCACCGCTGACCCAAGCGCTAGGGGGCGCCTTCCTGCTCTGTACCTCCCTTCCGGTGTTCCTCCCACACACGTGGCCAGGCCAGGTCAAAAGCCTAAGATGAGGTATCTACAAGGGCCTGCGCTTGTAGGGGGCCTTTCCTCCCTTTCCTCCCTTCCCTTCCCTGGGAGCCTCGAGCAGAGCTGGCCTCAGCAGAGAGCCAGACTCACCACTTGGCCCAGACTGTGTTCCTCAGTTCCCCGTGACACTCATCTCACTGCACCCTTTGGTGGGGTCCAGGCGAGGGGCTTTACACCAGGGGCTGAATCTGAGCCCCTCCTAGGGAACAGACCCACCGGATGCCTTCTGTGCAGATGGAGTCCCTAGAATCCTGAGCCTGGGGGTTGCTGGGGGAAGGCTGTGGATAAGGGGGTGTGAAGCCCAGGGAGTCAGCAGCCTGAGGTGAGGCCTTAGAGGGCTTCCCAAGTGACCACCCTGAAAGCCAGCACTCACCTGGAGCAGAAGGCCTCTGGCTGGTCCATGGAGTCTGGCCCCTAGGACTAGCACTTAGGGGCAGACGCAGGGATCAGAAAGGTGACCTCTCCCCAGGTTGCCTGGAGCCAAGTTCTAGGGGAGTTGTCCAGCCCCGTCCATGCCATAGGCCCAAGTGCTCTAGCTCAGCCAGCACTAAGATGTCGGTCCACCAGTCACCAAGCTCCCAAACTCAGGCACTGGGCATGTGCACACAGTCACCCTTTAAGAGTTTTGCTGGGTGACCTTTGATCTTCTTCTAATCTTTTTTCCCCCATTACTGTACTCTGAAACCCCATAGGGTGTGGCCTTGACACAGAGCTGTGAGCAGGTGACTGCGGAGCAGGGTGGACTGTGTGGAGGAAGTGGCTGTCTCAAAACGAGACCTTCAGCTTTAAGGCCTCGAGATAGGTTAAATTCTGAAGGCAGCAGTGAAGAAGGGCTTCTTAGGCAGAGGGGACACTGGGACTTGCATGATATTATCAGGGAAAGGAAGGCTGTCCCATGGGCCAGGGAAGAGCTCTGTGGCTTTCCAAATCTGGCTTGAGCAGGCTGATGGGAAGAGGTTTGGAGGTGAGGAGTGTGTGTGACTGATGCGGGACCATGTGTGGCCAAATGAATGTGGGGTTCTACTGACAGTGTCTGCCTGTGTGAAGTGTGTGTGTGTGCGCGCGCGTGTGTGTGTGTCTCAGTCTGTCTATGTGACCATGTGAATACTGTGTTTGTGTGAGTATATCTGTGGTCAGCTAAATAAAAGACCCCAAAGATATCAGGTCCTAATCTCTGGAACTCTTGAAGGTCCCCTCATATACCAAAAGGGGCTTTGCAGATGTGATGGAATTCCGGGTCTAGAGATGGGAAGATTGTCCTGGATTATCCAGATGGGCTGTAAATGTCATCTCAAGTCTCATGGATAGAGGCAGAGGGGGATTTGGCCCAGAGGAAGGTAATGTGACACTGAAGCAAGATGCTAGGCTGCTGGCCTTGAAGCGGGAAGAAAGGGCCAGGAGCCAAGGAGCGCAAGGAACACAGCACTCGAGGCTGGAAATGCAACTCGAAAAAGGCAAGGTGAGGACGTGTCCTCTAGAGCCTCTGGGGGCAGTGTGGCCGAGCCAACCCATGGAACTCAGCCCGGTGAAACTGATTTTGGACTTCTGGCCTTTGGAATTATGAGAGAATAAATGCGTATTGTTTTAAGCCAGGTTTGTAATAGCTTTTGCAGCAGCCACAGAAAATGAGCACAGTAGCTCTCTGAGCATTTCTGTGAAACTGTCCGCAAGAACAGGTGTTCTGGGATTGTCACTGCCTTTCTGGCCATAAACCATCCTTGTGTTCAATCCTGCGTCCGCCAGGAGCCCTGAGAACGGCCCCCTGGGGAGAGAACCCAGAGTCCTGGGATCCTCTCTTCTGGCTGCCCCCTCCACCAGGAGGAGGGGACTCACAGAGATGCCCATTTCTCTCTGATTTTTTTTTCTACTTAAGACAAATAGACCCCATGTCTCCCTGAGGTGGGCTCAGGCTTTCAGAGGTATGGCTCTGTTTAGCCACACTCACATCTACCCCAGGGTAGCGCCCTCCTTCTCTCCTACTCCCCAAATTCCTGACAGATCCCCACCATCTAATTTGACCCTCCCCCACACTGGGAAGCCTCCTGGACACAGGGCAGGGTTGGGAGCAGAGAGCCTGGAGGGGCTGCCGCCAGCACACAAGGGCAGGGGCCACTTTGTGCTTTGAAAGAACCCTTGTGAACATGAACACAGCTCACTGTCCCTACAGAGCACTAAAAGGTAGGGGCAGTGCACCTGCCCTGTGTGGTGAAGCGGCTTCACCTGGGGCAGGCCCAGAGTGGGGACAAGACCCTTATTCCAGGCCATGGTGAGGGTAACACCCAGCAAAGCAGAGGTGTGGACTGAGTGTCCTTGGAGTCAGGGTCCTAGGGACAAACCCTTAGCAGAGTTGGGCCTCAGCTGCCAGGAGAGGTTGGGGGTGCGGGGTGCTACTATCATGAGCTCTGTATGGGGTCCCAGCTCCCTTGACCTGCTGGTTCCTGACTTAGCTCCTCTGACATGGCTGGGATTCTGCAGAGGCAAAGCAACAACAAATGGACAACAAATGTAGGCGTGTCAGGGCTCAACCATGGACAGAATGTGGGCCTTGCTCGGCTTGGTGGGCATCTCAGGGCCCTGGGCCACAGCCCCACTTCCAAAGACCCCAGTGCACCCGTCATGGACCCCTCACTGAACCCCATTCCAACCCCGCGACACTCTACACACCCTCACTCCTCCAGGCAGAGACAGATGTCCCACGTTGGCTGGTGTTGTGTTTCTCCGAAATGCACATTCACTTTTCCTCTCCACAGGATAATTACTTGAAAGCAAGTTGTCTACAACTGCACTGTCTCCCTTTCATTATTGTTTCAGACAGAAAGTGCCACCATCAACAGCACAGTCTTCTAGCCAGAACTTCGGGGATCAAATCCTGCCTCCACCATCCAACAGCTGGATCACCTTGGACAAGTTACTTAACCTCTCTGTGTCTCTGTTTCCTCATCTGCAAAGTGGCATGGTAATTGCACTCCAGCACTGAGGGTGGAGAGGAGTGAAGCTGTAACACATGTACCTTGCCCATTCTAGGCATTCGTTGTTACCACCTCTCCAGTTCTGTGAAGTTCTGTTTTCTGGGTCACCGAGAACATCCTGATTTCTAAACCCACTTCAGTTCTGAGTCCACTCACCTCTCCCTAGCACTTAACACTGCTGACCATGAACTTTTCCTTGAAATGCATGCTCTTTTCCTTTTGTCAGAGGAACTGAGAGGGGCACGTCAGAGATAGCCTAGGGGTGGAGGAAGGGCGTGCATCTGCTCTGGTGTGTTCTGCCATAATCAGCATGGGAAGGGCCCTGAGGCCTGTGATTTCGGGATGTCAACGTCATCCCCATCTCCTAAGATGGACCCTCCTTAAGTGGACTCTGTGTCCCACAAACTCTCAGCAGCTGCTGCTAACAGCCCTGGAAAAGGCTTCGATAATGGGAGACAATATCAGGGAGCCTTGCCATGAGCTGAGTTGTGGAAGCATGGGGATGAGGAGAGGAGGTTGGGAGCAGGTGGAGGGGTGCACTTGCGGGGGTGGAGAAAGCCAAAGGCTTTCTTTCTTAGAAAGGGGTAAGCAGGCAAGGAAAGGAATTGGGGGAGTGGTTGGCAAACAGTGCCTTTTCACTCTGGATTTGTGTCACCCACAGGTGTAGGCTGCTGAGCAGGGCCACTTCCAAAGGCACAATCTTGAAATCTTTTCCAAGTAATTTAGACTGCACTCTGAAATCCCTCAAAGGTTCCTCCCACAGGGATTTTGCTACCTAGGAAAACTTGAGGAAAACCTTTGAGCATTTCATCCTCGCTCAAATTTTGTCCTCATGGCGGCTGCTAATGAGGTCTCTCTGGGGTCTTCAGCATCACCCACTCCTACTTTGGGGGTTCCCTTCCCCTCCTGCCTTTGAAAAGCCTCGTTCTTGAGTGCTTATACCCTCAGCAGAATGCTTCTTTCCCTGTTCTGAGCATTCCAATTCACCTCTTGACCTCAGAGAAAGAACCATTTCTGGAGGAGTGGGAAAGATGAGGAAAAAAATGGACCTCCAATTGACCCCCTCCTCTGTGTGCTAATATTATATAACTTGGCTAAAATGGACAAATTCCCAGAAAGACACAAACTATTGAAATGGACTCAAAAGAAAGAATCTGAATAGATCTACAAGTAAAGAGATTGAATTTATAATAAAGTAAAATTCCCACACAAAAAAGTCCACACCCAGATGGCATCACTGTTGCTTCTATCAAACATTTAAAGCATTACGACACTCCTTCACAAACTCTTACAAAAAATATAAATGAGAAGAATGCTTTCCCAACTCATTCTGTGAGGCCATATTACCCTGATACTAAACGAGGCGAACACATCACAAGAAAACTAAAGACCAATAGCCCTGATAAATATAGACACAGAAAATCTTCAACAAACTCCCGGGAAACAGAATCATTAACATATAAAAAGAATCACAAACCGTGGCTAAGTGGAATTTATCCCAGTAGTGCAAGGTTGGCTTGACATCCCAAAATCAATTAGTGTAACTGGGGAGTCCTTGCTGTGCCTACCCAGTAGGAGCTGGCCAGGCAGCCTGGGTGGTCCTCATTCATATTTTCTCTGACGAGGGTTTTCATTGCAGTGATTCTGTTCTTTTATACTCTTTTTTCCCTGTTCCTTTAATACTCTTGTATACTGGGAGTTTTGGAGGTAGATGTCTGGGTCTCTTAGGCTTCAGAAGGTCTAGTGGCTACAAGCTCAAGATCAAGGGGTCAGCAGGGCTGGTTTCTTCTAAGGCATTTCTCTCACACTTGTAGACAGTTGTTTTCTTCCAGTGTCTTCACATGGTCTACCCTCTGGGTATCCAATATGGATTTTAATACATCCTAACCTACTGAGGGAAGGAAAATATTCAGTCCCAGCCCTCTCCAGCCTTCCTGTCTCACTCAAAGAAAAATTTCAAAAGAAACCAGAGGGAAAGAAAGCCCACCAGTAGAACAAAGATACAAATTACATCAGACCTTTCTTAGAAATCATGCAAGCAAGGGCGCCTGGGTGGCTCAGTTGGTTAAGCGACTGCCTTCGGCTCAGGTCATGATCCCGGAGTCTTGGGATCGAGTCCTGCATCGGGCTCCTGGCTCAGCGGGGAGCCTGCTTCTCCCTCTGACCCTCTCCTCTCTCATGCTGTTTCTCTCTCTCTCTCTCAGATAAATAAATAAAATCTTTAAAAAAAAGAAATCATGCAAGCAAGAAGAGAGTGGAATGGGATATTTAAATTGATGAAAAAAAATCCACCTACCTAGAATTCTGTATCCAATGACATTATATTAACGTGAAGGAAAAATAAGAACTTTCTCAAACAAACAAAAATTGTGGAAATTTGTCGCCAGAAGATCAGCTCTGCAAGAACTGTTAATAGGAGTTCCTCAGAGGGCG